TATCGACTGATACTTGATAGTATCGTTTTCAATATGATAAATTATAATAAACTAGCATTGCCCGCAGCTCCACCCGCGTTCAGATGACCAAGAACCAAATTCTTAGATTTTACATGTAGATTACTCTTACATTGCAGTTTTTGTATTTTTTCTCAGAAATAAGATATTTTTCGCGGTAAAAAGTATCCTATATGTTGACCCGGATAATCGGCTATCATCATATTAAATTTCATCAAAATGCCTCCAGTGGTTTTTCCGTGATGCGGTAACAGACAGACAGGCAGACAAAAATTTTAAAAACTATAGATTCGGCCTCTGTATCGATAATAATGTCTATATCAATAAGATTTTCCAAAAAATATTTAATATACAGATTCGGCTCAGTTACAACTTTATTATATGTATAGATGTAAATTATTATCCCAGTTGATATATGTATACATGTATCACTTATATAATCAGTTATCTTTATATCTCCGTATCTTTTGCGTTCTCTAAGAACCCAGTGCATTGAAGCGCAACGTATTCCTCAGATACGCCACGCGCCCATTACGTGCTCGACTGCCCATCGTTGCCTATTATGTCGTCCTCGAGGCATTAATTAGGTGTCTCGCAATAATTGCCTTATCGGCTGATCAATAATAACAATTTATATATCTTCTATGAAAAATAAATATTCGATTAAAAGCATCTAACTATATTTACATTTAAATATGGTTATGTTTTCATTATTCGTTTACTTATACATCTCCATGGTAACGCAAAGCATTAAAGTACTAAAACTCGGTCAGTCATACTGAAAATTGTAGGAATCCTATTATCTCTGTCACGAAAACGCCGTTTGTGTTTACAATATTTTGAGTGTATTATACAAATCTTAATTAATTTTATAAAACGTATATATAACATATTAAATTAAACTATTTACTACTTATTTAAATTTCTTGAACTATTAGAGCTTTTCTATACGTATACAGCCCTTTTCAACATCCCATTGCTGGGCAAGGGCCTCCCTTCAATACGAGGGAGGTCAGGCCATAATCCACCATACTGACAAAGTGCGAGTGGGCGGACTTTACATGTCTTTTAAAAACTTGCTAAGTTCTCTCAGACATGAAGATTTCCTCTCGATATTTTTCTTCACCACAAGATAAGTAGTAATCATGTTGAAAATGATTAGCACATTAATATATCAGACCTTAGTATATTTGAACCCGCTTCACTTGGTTTCCCCAGTAAACGCCTTACTACTGAGCTACCACTGCCTTTTGAATCGTCTGTACTTACTAATAAATAAAGCTAAAGAAAAAAGTAAGTTTATTTGTCCGTCCAAACTAATCTCTTGAACTATCAGTTCGATTTGAAATATACATATATTTTTTTAATTTTATATGACTACAAAGAATAAAGTGTAGGCATCACACTACGACTTAAGATCAAAAAAATAATTATTATATATAAAATATAAACTAAGCGTATGAGATTAAGAATAAATATTTGTAAATAAAATATAATGACTGTCCTTTTTATCCAAGTATAATAATATACAGGTATAGCCATTATTAGATGTCTATTTGTCGATGAAGGCAACAGGAGCGTTGCCTGAGTAACGCCATATTCGATGTTAGGGTTGAAAGTTACATGAGAATCACTCGAATGCCAAGTTTTATTTATTTATGTTAAATGTATTTTATTTATGATATAATAATATAATTTTAATAAATTAAGTAATTGCGAACCTGAGTTGGCAAATAACTTTGTATATTATAATATCTCTCCCGTTTTTGAAAAATTATGCTGAAATTCAAATAGCGGTCATCTAAGATGTATAGAAACGTATTCTATGTAATGGGATATTAAAATTATATTGAAAGATTCAATCTATATATAAAATAAACTAGTATTGAATATATTACACTTGGTAATTATAAATAACATCTATCTAAGAATAAAAAATATTAATTTGAATACATAATATGTATTTTAGACAGCAGCCCTATTGGCCACACACTTTACTATTGTCCGCCGTTTCTTATTTCTCCATCTCCGCTGTTCACGCTCCACGATAATGGGAATTTTTGAAATTGCAACAACACACGGAGTCGCTTTACCAATGCAATGGCAGCCGCTGAAAAATATGCTTTTTTTGTATGTATCTCTGTAATGAAGGAATTCTAAAGTTTCTATTTCTGTATCATTGTTACGGAAATAGATGTATATTTTATATAAATATACGTTTGAGTGTCATTGTATTTATGTATGTATGTATGTACTTACAGTTTAATTATTCTATACAATATGATCGTAAGGCAGTGGTAGCCCAATGGTAACGCGCTCGCTTGGGAAACCGAGTGAAGCGGGTTCAAATCCCGGGTCTCGCACCTCTGATATTTTCATGTGCGAATCATTTCCAACATGTTTACCACTTGTCTTAACGGGGAAGGAAAACATCGTGAGGAAACCTGCATGTCTTAGAGAACTTAGCAAGTTTTCGAAAGACATGTGAAGTCCACCAACCCGCACTTGGCCAGCGTGATGTACTATAGCCTGATCCCCCTCGTATTGAAGGGAGGCCCAAGCTCAGCAGTGGGACGTTAAAAAGGGCTGAATACATACAATATGAGGACTTTCCATTTGTCGCTGACATATGTATACTAAAAACATAAGTAAATAATTTTTTGTATCACACTAATAATGAAGCATTTGCTTAACACAAACTATGAGCTTTATTTGAATTATTTTTTAATTGGAGGAATCTGGAGTACTCGTGATTAACTTAGACATTCATATCCTAAATTCCGTCAATCACTACCGATAATTATCAATTCATGTCATGCATATACGAGTTCTAGTGAAAACAATCTTGTCAGTAATTTAACACTTCGTTGTATTCAATATTTTTATATCTTCTATAATCGCAGTGATTTTATTCAAAATTGTCTTCATACATGACTGTGCATTGCATAAAACATATATTTTTTCAGCCTTTTATAGAAAACAAAAGAAACATATTTGTAAAGATAATTGATCATTCAAATTAATGTACCTACTATCCACCTGTCCATTGTTCGAGGAAGTCATTGGTAGTCGGAAACGGAAGCGCACGCGTCTGCCATCTGCCCTCTACGACCTATACATCCTCAATAAACCTTAGAAGTGTTGAAACTGTAGGAAATATCGAGAGGGCTTCGGTCGAACGGTCAGTAGGACTTGTCAATCTATGCACAAACTCTACAATGTCGTATCAATTACCAACAAGATATAACATATTAAGTATTACTTAAAATATTAAATATTAAAATAAGTTTTTATATGGAATGTTAATATTAGTTTACTGGTATAAAATTGTATACATTTACATTATCAATGCCATTCTTATAACGAATACTTAGTTTTACAGTGAACATTTGCAAATGCAGATTTATCTAGCAGTCTATTGTGCACTCTATTTCAGTACTATTGTCTTACTGGCTATTATGGCGACCTGAACGCTATGTATCTAGCAATGTTGTTGGATAGGTTTCAAACACTCTCATTAGTAGAGAAGCCTATGCCTCTATGAGGTATAAGGACAGCTATGAAGCTCCTAACAAAGCTTTCTATTGAATTTTCAATGAAAATTAAGCATGAGATTTTCATAAGCTTCTTTAGTTCAAATTTATTATACTCATTATGTATCGGTGATAGCCCAGTGGTAACGCACTCGCTTGGGAAACCGAGTTAATCAATCAAGTTCAAATCACGGGTCTCGCACCTCTGATATTTTCATATGCGAATCATTTTCAACATGATTACCACTTGTCTTAACAGTGAAAAAAAAACATCGTGAGGAAGCCTGCATGTCTGAGAAAACCTAGCAAGTTTTCAAAAGACATGTGAAGTCCGCCAACCCGCACTTGACCAGCGTGGTGGACTATGGCCTGATTCCCCTCGTACTGACGGGAGGCTCGTGCCCAGCAGTGGGACGTTAAAATGGGCTGAAACCATACTCATTATGATATCAAAATTAAAGTCTGCAATAATTGAATATTAAACTAAAGTCTAGATTAAATTTTGCAGAGCATCGAATAGGTAGTTCTTATATTTTTTACTAGCATAATAGTACTCATGACGCCGTCGTGTTCAACCTACTGTACCTACTCTGACAGACTGTATTCTCTGAACTCCATTCATCTTTTGTCATGCATAAGGTAGTAAAAAAACAATTCATAATGCTAAAGGAATTTGTTTTGCATATTTTATGGGTTTAAAACATATTTTGTGTGTAACATTTTATTAAAAGTAGTGAAATTAAGACAAAACTATTTATGTTTATAGCTTGTAACGTTTAACGATTGCAGTATAAGTAGAAAAAAGATCTTGACCCCATGTAATCGACGAATTTATTTTTTATTTTAAGCAGTGACTCTCATGTAGTTAAACACCGATGATTTAAGGGAACACCAAAAGACGTATTAATTAATATTTTTATAATATTATTTGACTGAAATATTAAATTGTATTAAAATATGCCAGTTCAAAGCTATATGTTATAAACTAGCAGCGCTGGATTTACAATAGGGGCACTCGTGGCTAGTGCCCAGGGAGGCAAATTTTTAGGGCCGGTAAAATTCAGAGGGTGGGAAAAAAAATCTTCACATTATCGAAAATGCTTCTTTTATTTTCCAAAAAATGAATTAAAAAAAATACTATTACGTTTTTCAAAAAATGCAATTTAAAAAAAATAATAATTAAAAACATGAAACTTTATCAAAACTTTACCTATTTTATGCAAAATTTCGATAATAGGACGGCATTTTTACAATGCCCAAGGCGGCGTTAAGGTTAAATCCGGCCCTGTAAACTAGTTATTATAACAATATAGTGGGAGATTTTTACATTTTGCTTGCACGAAGAAAGATCATCAATATTTTTATCAGGCGCAAGCGACAGGGTCATTTCAGTAGCAGTATGTTATTCAGGACCACGTGCGACGCGACTCTAGTATGCAAAGGGCGCTAGCGATGCGCCTCGCGTTCCGCTATGGACTTCGAAAATTGACTATCAATAGAAGTTCTCGTATCCACGTCAACTTTCCATTTTACTCCAAACAATACGAACAAACTACATGATATTGAACAAACTTTTATAAAATCTATTATAATATCACAATATTGTTCTGTTACTCTTTCATTCTATTTAACTTTGTTCTGACTTTAATAAAGTCCACGGTTAGGTTACTAAGTAAATCTTAAAATTCATGAGTTGTAAGAATTCCCAAACTGAATTTCTAACGATCGCGAAACATAAGAATCGTTTCTTTACACAAAGTTTATGATTATGATATTTTGCTTGAATATGGGTGGTTTTATAAAGATTTATATTTCATACTCTTATTAGGCTACAATCAAATTCCACACAATGTTATAATAATTACAGTACCTTGCAAATAAACAAATCGTTACAATAATAGGCGTAATTATAGATGGCATTCAACAAAGTGCAGCGATTTGCATGCGACAGCGAGGCTCGTCTTTCTAGTACCATGATAATACCTGTCATTACAGGTAATCTTCCCGTTGTTTCTTACTTTGAATATTTTATATATTTTTTTATTGTGTGTTTCAATGAATTACATTCACGGAAACACACTATTTTTTATTCCTTTTTTTTTAATAATTTTAATTGAAAAAAAAGTAAGGTAATGGTAATAATAATAATATTTAACCGCATATAATATGTTACTTAAGATATAACATGATAGATATACACAGTATAATTATACGATATAGACTAGTCAAACGAGTAAGTTATGTTCGAAAATTAATTTTCTAACATTCATCAATTAGAAATCAAATAGAAAATCGAGTTTCGTGTGTTCAATTTTCGTTGTCTCTTCGTACCTGGTGGGATTGTAGGATGACCGATCAAACGGTAAATTCAGCACGTGCGGGCCGGCGAGCCGCACCGATTCGATTTGCTCCGTCGCGATAGTCACACATTCAGCTCCCGACGGACCGTGTAAGTGCTGCATTCACTACCATTATTAATACCACTCCCCGTACCTCGCCGGACCCTCTTTGTGTTCACTTAATCCTCTATCCGGCAAGGTTAGCCCATCGAAACTGCCTCGACCTTGCCTATCGTAATAGGGTCTTATAGTTAAATTCCGCATGTAATTTTTGGTTTGCGATTGTAATTATCTATTGAGAACCAAGGGAAGAGTTCAATTATCGCGCGACGCTCCGTCGGACTGATTGATTGGTTTCGTCCCTGTTTGTATCCATCAACGTGATAGACACACGAACCTATCGTATTCTATTTTACACTGAATTACTAAATGCAAAACTTTTGCATATTTTCTGTTAATATTATGCACTCTTAAAAAATCTTTTAAGATTCAACTGAGTAGAATACTGAAGTCCGTATTATATTGGTATTAGATAACAAAATTTATGACGTATCCATCTTCGAAGATGATGAGATTTAGGGGATTGTGTGGTTTAGGTGAAACGAATAAAACCGTAGGTAACACATATGTACTCTTGCATAGGTAGGTATGTATTTTTATTTATTTTATGTAGCTGTACACGATGAAATATAGGACCGCTCTGTGACTGGCAGTCTCCCAGTGGAGTTGCAAAGCTAAGCTGGGCGAAGCAATTTAACCAATTTAATGTCGTCTGTGCCCATTGACCAGCTCCCGCGTTCTTAATTTGAAAATAGACGCCATTGTGTTGTGCTTGTGAAAATTTTGTTTGTTTATTCTATTAGTTTGCTTTATAAATATAACCAAAATCAATGTTTGTTTGTCACACAATTAATTGTCAAGATCAATCAATTATGTCTAAAGTGTTAGTAAGCACAATTTTCTTCGCAAATGCTTGGTAAAATGCAATCATACTATAATGGAATTGGTCAGTGAGTCATATAGTGCAAGTATGAATAAAAACTAATTTTCTAATTTGATTATTAAAATTATAAATCAAAAATATTAATAATATCAAATAGGTACTCAAGACTACTCAACTGAAGCCCGTCTGTCTGTAGCAATGTCGCTCCACATCTCAGCTTTTCTTAGAATATGATTTAAATGCCCGTTAAATAGTTATAACCGCACGACGACACAATTATTACCTAATAAAGAGACACAATCTCCTATAAGCGACATTAATTTCCTTTATAATATACCACTTTAAAAGCTTTACTTTTTTTTACTGCACAGTTCAATGACTTTATAGTGACTTCATTCTTATCTAGACTTAAATTAAAATAAATGCTCGCTATTCAAAATTTGCGAAGTTATTTTTATTGATTTGTTCATCTTTTACTCGGCAAAGTAATTTCTATGATTTTTACATAGAAATTGCTTTTCATGGTATGTTGACAACTATTGATAAAACCACCTTTTATACTATACCTAGGCACCTTTTATACCTAGGCACAGGAAGATGGTAGGGTAGGACTGTTCGTGTGTTACGAAAATGTTAATATAAGGTTAATATAAAAGTAAATACTGATAATAAAAAGTACAGATATAAGTGCAATGTATATTAATATAACAAATCTTATTGATGCAATAGTTTGTATGTGTGTGTAGGTACGCTTGTTTCTCCTTCACCGCCGTCGTCTCCGTTGAAATGGCTGGACGGATTTTGATGAAATTTACTACAAAAATATACTATGACCTAGAAAACAAAAAAAACAGACTACAAATAACTAATAAAATTTGACAAAAGGCGCTACTTATATCTATATAATACTTAATATATCCACATATAAACCGCATCTAGTTACGCAAGCGGGGTAAGTCGCTAGTCCTGAATAAAAACCAACATATGGTTGTTATTTTTTTTATTGGGACATTAGCACACAGCACCATCTAGTTCCATGGTAAGCTACAAAGCTTGTGTTATGGAAACCAGATAGTTGATACACTACATATGTATAACTTTAAATACATACATATTATAAATATGAACACCCATGACCGGAGTACAAACATTCATGTTCATCACACAAATGAATGCCCCCAGCGAGATTCGAATCCGCAACCGCTGCCATAGCAAGTAGGGTTACTACACACTGAGCCAAACGTGTCATCGAAAACAAAACTTGTGGTTGTACAAAACTAGTTTCACTAAAACTTCCCTATTGTTTTATAGTCAGAAAGTGCGTCACACTTATGTGCTAAATAACGTCTGTGGTAATGCGGCGTTGTGGTACCTCGGCGGTAAATGAAATGTAACTTACATTTATCTTGCTCGTTAAAATATTTACGACTGTTTACCTTCCACCATAAATTCTGAGTGGATATTTTGATGACTATATTGTAGATTGAATCATTACTTGGGATATGAATTATAAATATAATATAAGTTTATTTAATATCGAGAGCCCTTTCATACTAAAATTTACTTTTCTATTCAAGGGCAATAAACTCTTGACCGTCGGGTACACGTTCCTTCAATCTTATTTCTTTCTGGACAATGTGTATAAGTATATACGTACAGACTTTCCATCATTTTTCAAATAGCAAACAGGTTTGAAAATATATCATTTACTTATTAAAGTTTTCTAATTCATAATAATAACTTACATAATTTTTATATTATAATATGGCTCTTATTTTACTAAATTTTTGAAATTATTTACGATATTTTGAAATATTGACGATAACGAATTCTCTCAATTTTTCTTAATGTAACATTAATTAATTTAACATATTATAAAATAACAATGGAACAATTCGAGACGATGTTAGCTATTTTCAACCGACTTCCTCAAAAAAGAAGGAGGTTCGCCATTCGGCTGTATCTTTTTTTTTATGTTTGTTACCTTAGATTGGTAGTTTTCATTTACTATACATACCTAATCAAATAATTTCAAAGTCAGTGCCAGCCGATACAAAGCAAAGCACACCGACTTCAAAAATATTTGATTAGGTATGTATAGTAAATGAAAACTACCAATCAGTTATTTTTTACTTTTTAGTGCTTTTGTTTGAAGTCGGTTTTTATTTCTTTGTTAAAAAGTTTTTATTTGTTCTCCTAAGTCAGAATACGCGTTTGTATATCTTTCTATATTTTGAATTTACACAGTCACTTTAAATATCCAGATTGTATTTGGAGAACGTTAACCGTATTCAATTGGCACTCAATCAATACTTAATAAGCAATCTAATCACCATATGGATATATCTATTATATGGAGTACTGAATATCGTTTAGTATAACCGAAACAACTATTATAATACCTAGGTATAATCTTATATTATACTACTCATATATGTAGATATAATCCAAACACTATTTTTGATGCAACTTTTTTCCTCTTTAGTCACCTTTTTTGTGATCTGCTTAACAACACTAAAATTGTTACGAATTAAGATTGTTTATTAGGAAGAAAGAAAAATTAAAATATTTTTACAACACATATCTAACCCTCTCAACCCTCGAAGCAGTAAGAAGTGGCACGAAGCTATATATAACAATAGTTATGATATATGATGACGTACACATCTTCGATGTAATAATAAGTTTGCTGTAAAATTATTTTATTGAAAATTTCATTAAGCTTGGCATCTAATGCTAATATAATAATGTATACACAAACATTAGCATTAGAGGAGATGTATATATTTATTATACGTACGAGCTTTTATATTACTGTAGAATACTTCATATTTGATGCCCAAACTTACATAGAATTTACTCATATATGCATCGAGCGTGAGCTGGCAGCCATCTTGTTTCGTGGGGTCAAATTAAATTGACAAGCGATTTGTGCGGACGTATTGTATTTGTAGCGCCGCATTGTTGTCACCCCTAATTATACAGGTCCGCTGATCGTATGAGATTAGACGAAGGGATTAACGTAATGTACGTCGCGGATTTAAATCACCCTGTATCCAATTACATAAATCAAGCCCATTATAAAGCTCTATAGAATATTAGCCATGAAGTAGCCCTTTTATGTCTTAACTTACGTTTTAAAAAAACGTATAACATTTTGAAATATTTTTTTTACCATCGGTCTATTCAACTTTTCAAAAATAAAGATTATTTTATTAGATGTTAGAATATTTATGAAATTTTAGTCAATAGTTAGTGATAAGACTTTCATTAAGCAAGTAGAGCTGTGAAAGCAATGGCATCGAAATATTCGAGCGTTGCATTAAAATTATCGCCTTGCAAAAGGCTGGGCCAGACGCCATGTCAGCGTAGCACGCCAGGAGTTTAGCATATCGCTTGAGCTCGCTAAATCGCACGACATAATACAGACATTCTCCCCTAACGCCCTGTGTAAAAGCCATTATTGAACCCTAATACTATTTTAAAAAATGGCCATCTTAAAGTGAACGGTCGCAAGGAAAACTGTTCAGGAACAGACACTTAACAGGATTGGATGGAAACGGTGAAGTAATAAAGCGTGTACTATAATGTATTTATAGAAGATGTTGATATCGCTCAGAGAACAAGTCGTCTTAACTTTCTAAGATTTACACAATTAACATGTCATTTAAAATAGTCTATGTAAAATTTAACACTAGTAATGTTCTTATTTTCATCACAGCAGCCAATTCACTCAGTCTAAATGATACATTTGTGGAAGATAATATAGTACCAATCCTAGGATTCGAACCAAAACACTTTATTTGTAATCTGCCGTATTATAAGCTAACTAACTACTAGATTGACGACATATGTAGTTCCACTAAAATCAAGATCCGATATGTTGAGTGGTGTATCACACGCTTGCTTTAACGTGGAATACAAACATTTGCCCCATCCGGGAACCGAAACCGCAAAGTACAACACGTTCCTTGGTTTGATCGATTCATTTAATAGAATTAAAAAAAGGTAAAAAGCCGTTTAGACTAAAATATACTTTTTATATACATATATAGTAACTTAAAAAGAAAACCAATAAAAACTTTTTAACAAAAAAATAAAAACCGACTTCAAACAAAAGCACTAAAAAATAAAAAATAACTGATTGGTAGTTTTTATTTACTATACATACCTAATCAAA